TTCTAAAACCGGTTTTGTGATTCCAGGCTTAAAGGAAATCTTTGACAGGAGGGATTTTGAGGTTCCTGGAGAAGGTAGTTGGAAATAAGACCTCAAGTATTTATACAGCCGGGGACTACGTTTGTAAATTGACAAAGCAAAAGTCTTATTATTAATTGTCTACCGGCGCCTATTAGGTTTGCAAGTTACATTACATGGTTGTGAATTAATGAACTCCACTGATACACTATAAAGTAGACTTTCAATAAGCACAAATCTCCCATCATTGTACAAAGATTTAATTGATTCCTTCAACTGTTTCTTTCACTTAGACACGTGTTGCGGTGAATTTGATACATTTTAGTTTCCCTTTCTGTTAATTCACTTTTACTTTCTTCTAATTGTGTAAGGCATGAACTCAAATTGTCTGACAGAAAGGTATATTTATCTTGATAATGAGTCTGCACCACAAAATCTGAATAGCAGTGATTGTGTTCAATTGTACTTACATCTGTCAAGTCTTTTGGTACTTCTTTTGGCAGGCAATTTACATGTCTTGCCGCAGAAGTTGAAGGAGAATCACAAATGCTTGCTGAGGAACCAACAGAGCATTCCTTCAATGAAACTGCAGGATCAGAATCACTAATGGGTTGACTTAGAATTTGACCAACATCAAGACAGTTCAAACGTGAATAGGGATCCTGAAGGGAATCAGACAGTACAAAGTGATCTTCGCAGACATAGAAGTTACCAGATTGTGTACTGGAAGCTAATCCACAGGCATTGTATCATAATTGCCTTTGACTGAGATTTTTTGGGAATCGATAAAGTTTCTTGGATGGGGGATATGAATGACTTACATTCAATATGTATTTATTTTGGCATGAAGGGTATAGGCACTGCCGTGTCCATTTCTTGCTTGTTTTTGCTATTGTAGTATCGAAAGGCTTTAAGTGAAAAATAATAATTATAGTGAGGAACTTTACAATATTATCAAAATAAATGTCATGTAGGTACCTACTTACCTGTATTGTTTAAGCCATTCCAATCTTGAAAGATGAGTGGCAGAGAAACTAACTGAAAATAGGGAAAATACAGTAGTATTTCTGAAAATCACTTCTTGAGACACAATTTATGAAAGAAAATGCAGGCACAAAGAAACCGAGTGGCGTGAGATAATTTTACTGAGGTTTCTTTTTCAAGGTGGACGTAAACGCATCCTTAATTAAGGGTTTGATGACAAACTCTAAATTCCAATAAATATCAAAAGTAAAACTGCTCTATTTCTCTCACCTATATTAATTATTTTCAAGCAGTATTGCTCCAAACGCTTCCAAGCCACTCCACACTTCGGCATATTTTTGGCGGTAAAGAAAAAGTGGCAGCTTGACAGCGGTGACGTTGAATAAAGACGTATGAAAGACAAGTGACACTATCAATATTGACAGTGTTGCCGGCCGTTTTTTTTTTTTACCGCAAAAAAAACGATTTAACCTGCACGCGAACGCGTCGATCAAGACCTCTCCCCACTTCATCGCGTATACGGTTGCCGCGCAAATCAAATTTGAAATGTTAACTTTCCCACTGGACACCCTAGCTTCTATAATGTAAATTTTAGTTTAATTTAAAATGCTAATATCAAAAAGTTGGTAATATTATTATTTTGTAAGCTTTCCGCCCCGCAGCTTATATGTAGCTCCATTAATAAAATAACTGTTGACAGTCAATTCACTAAAGCAATGCAATCATAGCAATATTCAAAAGTAATGTCACATCTTAGTAACAATTTAACGCGTACGAAGTCGCGGGAAACAGCTTGTCTAATATAATCGAGGATATAGTAGTTCTCCGGTATAAAGCTTGCCAACTACTTTCTGCATGTCTTCTGACCATGATATGCATTACTCATTATCAAATGGCAAGTTTTCAAATTCTCCCTATCACTCTCCCTGTCACTAACCTACTACTACCTAAAATCAGCAACTCCTTAAGTCAATGTTTTGAATTTGAATCACCCTGCATGGATGCGAATCTGAGTATATGATACACCATGACCGGCGATTATGACAATGTGATATAAATCAGGAAAGCCAGTTTGTGAAAACTTTATCGAAATGGCCGACGATCTAACACTCGGTTATAAACTAGTCGCAAGAGCAGCAGTGGCTAGGAATTCGAACAATAACAGACGCAGAAAGCACCTTGCACTTGAATGCACCAGCCATAGACGACTAGATACTCGTAGATCTTATCTGGGAACATCGAACCGTTCGCTGTGCGCGAAATCATTTTACGCTCCAAGGAAAATGCTGCTTTGATCGTTTACGATCATATAATCTCTATAATTTGTGATTGCAACATGATTTTTCTATCGCTGTGTGCACTAATCTTTCAGGGCCTTTAACCGCCTGTTCAACTTTATTGGCGACTCTATCTTTGAATGTATACTAAGTGACATATAAATCCAACACGCCTAGGCGTGCTTCTGATCAGGTGGTCAATGTCCTCCTGTGGTATCTCATTCCAGGCCACCACCAACTCCTCTCGAAGTGCTTCTAGAGTCTTAGGAGGACGTTGCAAATTGAGCAATCTCCTACCCATCATATCCCACACGTGCTCAATTGGGGATAAGTCGGGAGATCTTGGTGGCCATGGTAACAATGTGACATCATTATGTTGAAAGAAAGAAGTCTATTGTGACTCTTGCAACATGTGGTCGGACATTATCTTGTTGGAAATTTGGATCTGCCAGGGTGTCAAGATAGGGTAACAGATGGGGTTCTAGAACTTCGTGGATATAACGCTGCGCGTTCATGTTACCTCTGATGAAGATTAAAGGTGACCTCGAACCATAAGCTATAGCACCCCAAACCATAACTCCAACAGTGTGATGAACATGTCTTTCAACAAAAAACTGTGGATTCCTCCTTTCACCACGTCGCCTTCTAACCCTGGCACGAGCATCGTGCATGCCTAAACAAAATCGAGACTCGTCACTAAAGACAATACTGTTCCATTCCTGATCCCAGAGTGACCGTTGTCTGCACCACTCAAGGCGATTACGTCGGTGTTCTCGAGTTAAAGGGAGGGCCCAGTGTGGCCGGTATGAAAACAAGCCAAAACTTCTCATTCGTCGGTAAACACTTCGCATGCCAATAGGTCTTCTGTCTTCTGCAAACCATTCATTTGCAATGGACCTGGTAGTGGAGAAACGGTCCCTTAAGGCCAATAATCTTAGGCGGCGATCTTCACGGTCTGTTGTTCTACGGCGGCGTCCAGTGTCCCTTGTTCTTTGCGAACGGCCTTCTCGAAGCCATGCCTGACAACACCTAACCACAGTGTCTACACTTCTTTGCACTCTAACTGCAATTGCCCGAAAAGAAAGTCCAGCTTCCCGAAGTCCCACTATACGGCCCCTATCAAACTCACTAAGTTGACGAAATCGTACAGGTCTCCGTACTCTAGGTATCGTAACCGATCCTAAAGGATGTCAAGAACCAAAATCCGCCAACGTTGATTCTTTACTGCGGCTGAAATATTCATTTTTAGAGCGTTAGTGAATTAAAAAAAAGCAGTATAAAACCGGAATATCCAACTGATAAGGCTGAAAATTTTTTCACTTGTTATTTACACTAAGATAAATACATTCACCAACTTTTATTAAAATAAAACCATTTAAACTGGGTGTTCGGATTTATATGTCACTTAGTATATTAGCGAAAGAATGGGATCGACATAATTGTCAAGGGTCATTTATTTTAAGCTTTTTGCATTTTGTAATGTCATCAAAAAGAAGGATTTGTGACCTACTCGAAACGTGGATCAAACCTGATACATTCTTCTGTATCATCCCTTGTGTTGTGTGTTGAAATAATTTGAGCAATTGAATATGAGAAAGAGAGAGTCCCAACTTTCACTTGATGTAACAGAATTCTGTCATTATTTTTGTTTTCATATACACCGGGAATTGAACGGATTACTATTTTTTGTTTCACTTCTTTATATTAGTATTATTCAGAGAGGTTTTTAATACGATTCTGACCAATGCCCCAATTGGAGTAAGTGATGTTATTGAAATACTGCTAAACAGAACGTAGTATCAGTTTTAGCTAACTTTTTCAAACCTTTGTGAAAGATGGACTTATATACTGCCATAATATGATGGGTGGTCGGAAACTTTTTCGAATTTGTTCTTGAAAACCAAATTTATCTGACGGCTTGAGTTCAATGTGTACTTGTTACATCAGTTCCCTGAATTAAGATGCATATCGGAAAGTTGCGTTAGTTTATTCTTTAAATAATGGTTTTACTTTGAGTGTACACATTTTCGAACTGTAAATTGTGTGGAATCTATTAAGGATTGATTAACGATCGGTCCTGACGTCGCTCCATTTTAGGTCGAAATGAAGAGTCAGGATCGCCACAAATTCTGCAACATTGCATCACTGGTTCGTTTGATAACACCGCATCTTGTACATTCCAAGGCAGGGTTTTCACCTCCATGATCATAATTAAGCGATTTTGGTCAGTACCCATCTAGCGCTCGTATGGGAGTGTCGTCCTGCTTCGAAATGGCTTTCACCTGAGTACACCCAGGCAGTGATAATAATTTTTATTGCGTAACGTTATTTGTTACATCTTCCGACTGCAGCGCTGCCGCAAAAAGTAACTATAATTGAGGAGCAGACTTTCAAAAAGCATTAAGTGCAGTTTTTACGAAATTGGCCAAAAGATGGCGATCAAATGTATAGGTTCATCTCCATTTGTCAACCGCTCCTTGGACATCCAAAACGATGTTAAACGATAAATATAACGCCCGTTAATACGTCTAGACTTTCAAAGAGCGTTATTTTTTTCTGCGTTGGACAAACAAATAGACTTTGATAAGCTAGTTAGTGCATGAACGCTTTTTGTTTGTCCAGTATATTTTGGATGAGCAGCAGGTAAACCCTTTTGTTTGGACACGTGTCTCAAGATTGTAATCCTGTCGTAACTTGCTTCAGTTAGCATAGTGATATCGAGTGGGTTAGATCGGTCGGACCACTATTATGGATGAAGAGCATGTTGTTGGTGATCAAGACAGAGGCAGTAGAAAACGAAAATGTGGTGCAACATCACGGCAGCGGCAGAAAGAAATACGGTGGATATAGTAAATTATGTTATTTGGAGAATTTTCTCATAGTTTGCGGTTTTATTTCTAGATACGATGACCCTGATCCCAACCTTGATGGTTTCGAAGTCTCCTGTAAGCATGGCAGAAATAAAAAACTTTCATGTAAGGATATTCCTTTCGAAGATCTAAGGCGCTGCCGACAAAAGTTTTATTCACAAAAAGACAAGGTTAAGCACGATACGAAATTGAAATTGGAACTCCTAGGAGAAAGAAACGTTCAGAGCAAAGCTTTACTAGAAACCGCAACATTACTGTGCATTACAATGTGTGGAGCTCCAACAGCAAGAAAAGAATTTGTCAGAAAATTTTTTTAATAATTTTTGGTATTAGTCAGAAACGCATACAAAATATTTCTAGGCAAATGAAAGCTGGATCGGGTATTTCTGAAAATCGTGGTGGTGACAGACGTTCGCAGAAAAATGTGGAAAAGCGCAAGAAAGTGAAAGCATTTATCGCAAATTTAAAGGGGCAAGAGAGTCACTACGGAAGAGCGAAATCTAAAAGGATATATTTATCTGCAGAGTACAATATTACCATACTACATAGGCTATACAATGATAGCGTTGAAGAAAGCTATAAAGTAAATTACAAGTACTTTAGTCGCATTTTTTCGAATGACTTTAACATAGGATTCGGTACACCGGCGACCGATGTTTGTGGATTCTGTACGCGGCACCTAAATCTGCTCTCTATGGTGAACGGCCAACGCGAAAAGCAAACTGTTATTACAAATTTAAGAGTACATAAGTTACGAGCAAAGCAGTTTTTTAAAATTTTGAAGGAAAAATCTGAAGACGGCATGGCATTCTGCTTCGATCTTCAGCAGGTACAACCTCTCCCTAAAGTACCGATTTCAGAGGCATTCTACGCACAGCAACTCTCCTTGTATGTTTTCTGTATCACAGACATACCTTGCAAGCGACCAATTTTTTACTCATGGTTAGAACACCAAGCAGGAAGGGGTGCCACAGAAGTTGGTTCTGCTCTTTACGATTTTCTCAGAAAGGCTGAATTTCCAAAAAACTTGAAAGAATTGACTTTGTTCTCTGATGGATGTGGAGGCCAAAACAAGAACAGTCACATAGTTGACATGCTAATGATGTGGCTACATCAAGAAGCACCAAAAGGCCTGCAATCTATAAGAATGGTTTTTCCAATAAGAAGTCATTCATACCTGCCAGCGGATCGCATTTTTGGACGGTGTGAGAAGCTTATTAGGTCCCATAGCACACTAAAGTCACCAGAAAAATACTGGGAGTTGTATTCTCAAGTCGGATTGGTTCGAAAGCTTGGGACTGACTGGAAAATATATGACCTGAAATCCGCTTTGTCCACTTTTCAGAAAATCGAATCAATCAGTCATGCTAAGCGAATCTTGATAAAACGGACTTCAAAACAACATGTACCTGTGGAAACAGAAACCTTTTACAGAAATGACGATAAGTACTTGACGTTGTTAAAAAAAAATAAGATGATTGAAAACTTGAGTTTTCCAAGGTTGCCTTTGAATCATGAAATAAAAAGGACAAAGTTGAAAAGCCTGCATAACCTTTTGGTGCAGCTATCCACAGAAAGATGGCGTGAGGATGAGGAATTGCAATGGCTTCGTCCTATTTTTTCAGAGCCCCTTGAAGAGCTACAAGAGAATAGTGATGAAGACAATGATGAAGATAATGCCCAAGAAGTATGTAACTGCATCGAGGATGATGATGGAGTGAAAGTTTGAATATTTTTCTCTAAGCCTATTTTTTATAAGATTGTATTCATGGGCAAATAGAATAAAGGTATTTTGACTTAAGTTACCGTTTCCCAAACAGAAGGACTTATTTCACCTTCGGACAAACAAAGTGCATCAAATAGAATCTACTTTTGGTCAAAAAATGGAATTTCTTTGTTTTCCAGGTAATCCTCCTTCACCATCAAAGCCTATCTATTTTCGTGGTATTTGATTCACCAAAATCAAGCATTTGCAGCTACGCATGTTGTCACAGCAGTTTTTTCCACTTTCCTCAATTTATGCGGGTCATAGCATAACGCTTTTTGAAAGTCTGCTCCTCAATTCAGGATGTGTTGACTTTATCACCATCAGTCAAAATCAAAGATAATTGATATAAATAAATAATTCTAATCACAATGCAAACAAAATATTAACTTGGATGTTCGAACAGACCTCCTTCTTTGGTTTGACAGTAACCTAACCGAGTGTAGCAGCCTGTGTAAACATTTTCTGATTCGAACTCAGCGGGCAGAAAAACCCAAATAACATGCGGTTGGGATCAACTGCTGTGCTTTCTTTGAAAATGTCCTTGATATGACCTTCAAGAGACCTTTGAATGCCCTCACAAATACCACTAACCCCAGGGTTGAAATCAGTGACTCAGAAAACCTTACTGTACCAAAAAATCGTATAAATGCCGTAGAAACTGTATCTTTTGCCAGCTTTTCGGCATTCTAGACCACTGTGCGGCGTCCTTGTGTGCAACAGCTCTTAATAAAACAGCGCAAGGGTTTAATGTGCGACATTGCAGATACAAAAAGTTCCATGTATCGATATGGCATTGCAGCACGTATATCTATTTCCCCATAAAATACGTTGGCAGTCTATTTTCTGCACTTCATCTGGGGATATGTGACGAGCCCATTACCACCTTATAATTAAATAGCACTATTTTTGTGGAAAAAAAAGTGGACTTCAAAGCGGCTGCTGCGCCGACGACTAGCCTCCTGTGTATGTAAGTAAGTATCGAGCGAATTCATTGAAACGATAACCGATCATCAGTGGCGTTACTTTTCGTTTTGGGTTATCGTTGGTTGTCAGAGCCGTCTGTCGGGTCAGATAATCCGGAAATCGGACAATGTTAAGGAAAAACAGTTAAGAAAAGCAGAGAACGAAGGGAGAGGGTCTTTTACGTTAGGAAGCCTTTAGGCATTGTTAAAATCACTTGACAAATTTTGATACGGTGAAAAAATTGATTTTTGTGAGGGTTTTGACAAAATGCCCTGATTTTTTATAGTTCTAAATTCGCGAATTAATGATTGCAGTGCGAGGAGCGGCCTTTTGTGCTTGCGAGCTTGTTCGACTGTGTAGACTACTGACTCACGCAACAGAGGGTTATGCACTAGCCTACTAGTCTATAAAGTATCCAGGATTCAACGCTATTGTATACACCATAAAACACACCAATCAACGACACTATTCTTAAGTTCACAAACTATCCACAGTAGTTGAATAAACTTAATATTGCTATAATATAACAACTATCTCGTTGGTTTAGTTTATTGGTAGACTGGGGTTATATGTGTATGGAAAATGTCATGTGTTGTTACTCTTCATTGTGATGTCTTGAAAAAACCATAGTAAAGTATAATCAACATCCCTTTTAATACTACTGATCAAATTCAAATTTTAGTCATTCCTATGTGTTTTAGCGATTAATATTTTATAGCTAACTTACTAACCAATATTTTTAGCTATTTTAGTGAAAAGATAGCTTTCCATCAAAATAATTACTCGTATGGTTAGTTTATATATTTTTCAGTGAGTCTATAAACTAGGCAAGTTAACATCAGTAATCAATAATTAACGCATGATCCAATTTCCAGCAAGCTACAACATGGTTTAGCTCCTGAATGTAAGCTTAAAACGTGTTTTTATGAATAATCGGATGCATAACGTATTCTAACGATCCATATATAATTGAGATTACCCATAGTACATGTGCAAAATGATTTTGAAAAAGGTGAACATATTTTCTAAAATTGGCCATCTTTCAAATGGGATGTCTCATATTTCATTGCATAGTTGGGTATATCCTTTTAACAGAAGAACATCGATACAGCTTGTATGATTAGGGGTCGGATGACAAGCGACTGTGCACAAAAACTCTTGTCCGCGATTTGAGAATATAGGAAACTTCACATATTATTCATATATCATTAATAATTAAGGACTCAAAATAGCATCTAGATAAAGTACCACTTGATACCAATCCATTCAAAAAAAAATCTGCATAATGGTGACTAGCTGGCATCTTTTTATTGTTTCTTGGTATTCAATAAAGTGGTATTAACTTTAATCATCTCGAATGTCTTGATAACTTAAAAAGCTTTGCTACGTTATGCTTCAATCAGACATCGGAAAGTTTAATTTCTCATGCCGAACTGCGAGCAACAAAAAATACTTTTGAGGCGGTTGAAGAGAAAAAGATTTGTTGAGTAATATCGATTCAGTGACGCCGCTGTTAACGTTGTCAAAGACGCGTGCCGTAATAGTGATTGTCAAGGTTGGGCGTTGCGTTGTATGCAATTGTATGTGTGGTGGATATAACAGGCGTCGTCATATTGGGGAGCATCCTCGCGGGTGCTGTTTTGATATCAAGGTTGACTGTGCAACGGCGTAACTACGCCGTCTAACGACCGCCGACGTAACCGTTTATAGGAGCAAGGCCCATTTCGCACGGCAGTTTCACGTGAATCGGTGTTCGTTAATGGACCCTAATTGCCCCTTATGACTTCTAACTTAGCACTCGGGATGGTCAACTCACCACTCGCCGTACCAACACGCTCTATGATGTCTCTCGACTGCTGTTAAGCCCAATGGATGGAACGTGTAGTAAAGGACGTTGTCCTATGTATTGCCATTCTTTACGATCCGTCTTCACTTGGAAACAATCGAATTCTTTCACTCTCAAGTTATGGGGAAGATTTTTTGCTTTCATACTGAATGATTTCGAGCGGAATAGTCCAAACTATATGGATATAAACAAAAGAACTTATTTGAAGGAAATGCTTGCTTAAGCTGATAGCACTGGCGCCCACAGAGACCTCCCTGAGATTCCGGTTGGGCTTTAAGGTTTCTAAACCTAACTTGCTTTTGTGTGCAATTTTTTAAATTTGGCAGGAATTAAATAAAATGAGGCCACTGAATTCTAAAAAACCAATAAATTCTTATTAAAAAGTGCCACACGTTTCCGAGATTATATTTTATAAAAAGTAGAATATTACAGCCTTTTAAGATTGCCGAACAACCTTCGATCATATAGATTCATATCATTGATCTAGCTAATTATACCTCAGCAAACAAAATTATATAAAAAGTACAAACCTAGTAGCACGAAATCAGTTAGTGAATCCATTCACTCAAGAAAATATTCACAAGAAAACATGGCCAATGAACACAAATTAAAAATCGCCGCCAAACCTCCCAGCGAAATCAAAACTATCTTTTCCTCAAACGTAATCTGGGACACTAAATTCATTTCCTACTGGAAAGCGGAAATATCGAACTGTCGAACCCCCTAAAATGTCACAGTCACTGTTTCTCTTCCAGTCCAAACACCAGTCAACAGGCACACATTTGCAGCCCGAAGAAGGTCTGCTATATTGTCATGGCCTACTATGGTATTTTGATTTATTAGAGACTATGGAATCTGATAATCTTGTATAGAGAGTGTTGAGAGTATTTACGTTCCTATGCCTAGTTAAGGAAACTGAAATTACGGAAGATCAATAGTACGGAATACTGTGTTGAAACTACATTTATATAATTTATATGGTTCACAAATTGCAATTATAAACATCTCTAATAATAAAGAGACGATGAATCTGTTATAATTTTTCTAGCATGAGACAAATTCTAAAGACAATATAATTCTTTCAAAATCATAAGTCTTAATTAAATAATTGACTGTTTACATTAAGAAGAACCATGAGGTTAGGTTTGTGAGCACGTTATATCAGTGAGCGACAGCGATAGACCGATTTTGATAAAAATTGGGGAGCAATGTACTTTTAAGCAATAGTGCATCTCACTGTATTTTTAGAAAGGACCAAACGCGATTCAAGAGGAAGAGGAATGAAGCAAGAAACTAAGACATTTTAAATTGCCCACGCGCAAAGAAGGAAAGTATTGTGCACGCAATGGAACAAATAATAATAAATTGGTTTTCGGCCACCCAACTTACGTTTGAAAATCAAAATGGCCGCGGCCTCCCTCCCGAGATTCCGGTTGCATAATTTGCAATTTTGGGGATTCATACGATTTGGTCGTCTTGAGAAAAGTTTTTTTTTATATCGAAGCAGCCGCGCAGGCAGAAGCCTAAATGCCGGAACATCGCGACTGCTATGATGATCACAAAGAAATTTTGTTAATACGATTTTTGAACTGCCTAAGGTTAGAAGAACTGGGAAAAGCTTCATCTTGTAGATTGTTCCACAATCTCGACACCCTCGGGACAAAGTAGCGGTCGTATTGGCCAGTTCTAGATGTATGAAGTTCGACACGGCTGGGATGGGACGCCAAAGTCAGGCGGGTCTGTCTGGCAGGCACATCGCGCGTAGGAATCATGGAAGAGAGGTCTGAGGAGCAAAGCCCGTTGGTGTAGCGGTAGAAAATAACTAGATCGCCGACAGCCCGCCGGTGTGGAAGAGTCCCGAGACTGTCTGTTAGAGAAGAGTCATCGATCAGTCGGACCGCCCTCCTCTGGACAGCATTCAGCATGGATAATGTAGTCAAGGCGGCAGCACCCGAAATGTGTGAGCAATACTCGAGGCTAGGCCTTATCTGGGCCTTGTATAGAGTGAGCAGGTCATGCGGAGAAAAGTACTTCTTAGCCCTAAACAAATAGCCTAGCTTTTTCCCAGCAGCTGCAGCTATTGAAGAGATGTGTTCGTGCCAGATCAGGTCCTCGGTGATCTGGACTCCGACCAGCCAAAATGAATGGCTCT